TACACTCACCTTTACTGGCTCCATCCCCGCCTCTTTGACCTGTCTGTTTCCTCTCCACCTATCTTCTCCTCTATCCATCTTCTATCCGCCTCCCCCTCTCTCCCTATTTATTTCAGAAACCCCTTCCCCTCCCCCATTTCGGAAGAAGGGTCAAGGCCCGAAATGTCAGCTTTCCTGCTCCTCTGATGCTGCTTGGCCTGCTGTGTTCATCCAGCTCTACACCTTGTTATCTCAGATTCTCCAGCATCTGCAGTTCCTACTATCTATTGAAATTGGTGAAATCTTTCACGGCCTGAAGTTGTTGAACTCAACATTGAGTTTTGAGGACAATAAAGTGCCTTGTCGGAAAATGAGCTGCTGTTCCTCCAGTTGGCATTGGGCTTCACTGCAGCCTGGCAAGGAGTGTTCCTTGACTTGTCTGTGTCCATTTATGGGGATAAGTTGTCTACTAATATTCATTGCACACTCACCAACTCTCACAGCTACTTTGATTACACTTGCTCACACCCTGCCTCCTGTAAAGGCTCCATTCCATTCCCTCAGTTTCTCCATCTCTGTTACACCTGTTCCGATGATGCTACCTTCCACAAAGGGTGTTTCTGACATGCCTTCTTTTTCATTCACCTGAAGAGTTCCTTTACCACACACTGATGACCAGGGCCCTCAACCTCATCACATGCTCACAGTTCTGTCTGCAGTCTGCTACATGATTTAGTGAACCTAATGCAAGCTGCAATTTTTCGGCTGAGCATTAGGACCTCAGGACGTCCTGGAGCACAAAACACTGAACAGCCAACAAAATAATTTGTCCTGGGAGTGTGGACACAGCACTTCTAGCGGAAAATTGATGCAAGTGCTTTAGCCTTCACTTTGATGCTGATATGCTGAGTTCCTCCATCATTGCAGCATCCACTTCTTAATTGTTCAACTGTCTATCACCATCCATTACTGGATGTGGCAGAGCTGCAGAGTTTAAATTCAATCTATCCCTGCTTATTGCATGCTGCTTCCACTGTTTGGCATGCAAGTAATTCTGTGTTGCAGCTTCACCAGGCATCTTTATAAGTTTGCTCAAGAGCTGCTACTGGCATACCCTCTTACACTCGTCGCTGAATCTGAGTTGGCCCCCTGCTTTGACAGTAGCAGTAGAAGTGGGGGTGGGGAGGGATGTATAGGGTCATGAGGTTATCAGATTGCAGTTGAATTCAATTCTGTTGTTTCTGATGGCCCACAGCTTCTCACAGATGCCCAATTTGGTTACTTAGATCTGAGTGAAATCTACCCCATTTAGCAAGGTGGTAGTGCAACACAGCACAATGGAGGGCATCCACAATGTGAAAATAGGACTTTGTCTCCATGAGGACTGTGCAGTGGTCACTCCTGCCAACAGTTATGGAGAGGCAGATTGGTGAGGATGAGGTCAAGTAGATTTTCCCTCTTCTTGGTTTCCTTACCACTTGCTGAAGACCCACACTAGCTGCTGTGTCCTTTAGAACTCCACCCATCAGTAGTGGTGATACGGAGCCACTTTTGGTGAAGACCTTTACCCAGTGTAC